ATCTTGTGTAAGCCATTTAGTGGTGTTCTTAGTTTAGTTTGAACTAGATTTTGTCCCTTTGGTTGTCATTGGTGCCACAGGGTACCATTTGACCCTCTTCATGTTAGTTTTCTCTTTCGTTTATTTCCTTGAGCTCCGTGAATTCATGGAAGGTCACATTGGTGTCTTGGGGATGGTTTGCATCTCTATAGACTTTCGATTTATCTTTTACTTCCGCATTTCGGATCCGTTATCGGGTTAACTTTCGGTTCATCACAGTACACACTGGGTTGAAAAATCCAGGGTCGTTACATCCACTACAGGTGCAGGTTCCACCTCAGGTGCAGTATCTTCCTCCAATAATAGTCTAGCCACCTCAATTTGAGGTTCCATTTATGAACATTCAACGATTTGTACCCATGCCACCAAGGCCATCTATGGCATTTCAAATGGTGTTTGAAGGACAACCCCCTCCAAAGAAACTTCGATGGAGTAACAACCTTCTAGTAGGCCCAAACCCACTTCTAGTGGTGTTTGGGGGGGGGGGGGGGAAAGCATGGCTAATCAACTATTTATTTGGCTAGAAGATGTACAAATCTGCCCTCCTCATAAACCTCTAGACCCCGGGGGGGCAACGAATTGGATGAAGGAGTATTGCCCTTCCATCTATAAAGACTGAAAATCCGCAGTGCTTCAACCGGCCGCCTAAAGTGGCTAGTACTTCCTTTCTAAATAAATTGGAAAGCTGGAAAGGAAGCATAAGGCCACATGTGGCCATTCCAATAGTTTAGTCCGAGCATATGAAGGAATGTTCATTCAAGAGATGAAAGGCTAAGTACTTGGAAAGAAGTGCATTGGCCAGATCCATGAAGTGGACTTAGCTGTATTTCTAAGATCGGCTAATTTCCTAAGTATGGAACGTTTCATTAAAAAGGGACTACAATACATGGTCCAGGTTCTATTCATACTGGAAATTACTTATCTTGCTTGCTTTCCATACATCTCCTATTAGTAGTTAGTTTTATTTTTCGAAGTGTAATCTGAGTTGTGAAGAACAATGGAAGCTACAATGACAGCCACTATAGAAGGTTTTTGTTATATGCCAAAGCCTCACTCAAAATTAAAATCCCACGCCTTGTGATCGAGTACTCCACAAGGCATGGAATTTGGGGGCCATATGTTTACACCATAAATATTTTCCAGTTGGAAAGGTTGTCGTGGCCAATCACAATGGAAATGTGAGCGTTTCCAAATTGGAAAGGTAATATGCAAATAAAGCAGCAATCATGAAACAACACGTGGCTTCATCAAATGAAGCCATTTGGTACAAGTAACTACACAGGGACACATGGAGGTAAGGGATTACCTGTAGTTAGAAAGACATGACTTTTTAAGTGGACACGTGGTAGGCAGAGAAGGAAGCAATCACATACAATTGGAAAGACATGACTTTCCAAGTGGACACGTGGCAAGCAGAGAATGAAACAGTTACATGCAGTTGGAAAGTTGTTGCTAATGGGACACGTGTCAGCCAAAGAAGAAGTCAGTTACTTGCAATTGGAAAGACGTGTGACTTTCCAAGTGGACACGTGACAGGCTTACCTACAAATTAGGGGCAGTTGCCCATTCTATTTAGCAGTTCCAGAACGTGGCTAGAAAACTTTAATTGGAATTGAACCACCAAAACCACTCCTTCAAAACTAAAATTCATAGGACATCATGTTCTTACACGTGTCAACATTATGAGAAGACTAAGGAAGACATGGGACACATGGCATGATCCGGACCTTCCAGGTGGAATTTCTCAACTACTGCTGGAAACTGCCGCCTTTCCATCTGGACAGTTTCAGATCATGGATAAGGGCTTACAAACATGCATTCAACGGCCAAAGACCACTATTTATCAATTGTAGATCATAGGAGAACATATTCTTACATGTGTCAATACTATGAGAAGACTAATTAAGATATGGGACACGTGGCAGTCCGAGGAAAGGCCAAGTGTAAGCTACTGAAACTGCCACATTTCCAACTGCTGCAAAGAAACTCTATAAATAGAGCATTTAGGCTTCACTTGCAAACCCTGTTCAAATCACACAGCAAAACAACACTTCAATTATTACATTTCATGTCTCTTTACATTCATATAATGCACCTTCAATATGTTTGATTTAAGTCCTACACTTATTATTCTTACTTTCCAGCACCTTACTTTGAAGTCCTGCACTTTCAATACAGCTTTCCTTTCCACTAGCCATAGATTAATCCATAAGTCATTTTTCAAGGCAAAAAGAACCTTTGAAGGTGGTAATTCCAGTCCTTCATACAATCGCTTGATCCTTACAATCTCCTACTGGATAATTGTTCAAAAATCCACTTTAGAATGATAGCAATTCCTGGCACGCCCGACATTCACCCTCCTTTCCGCACTTGGAAAGGGCCACGGTTTCTAGGAGCCGAACATTAGCTGAATAAAAAAAAACTCAACCAAACTTAATAAAATATTTTTCCAATTATTCCTAAAAAGGGAGCATATCACTCATTTTTATACACAATATTATAAAGAAAAGAATAGTGAATGTTGACAAATGACTTGAAAATTGATGTGAAATTACACTGGACAAGAAGTTTAGTGGAAAGTTATCAATAATTTTCAGTTTCTTTTAAAGTTTATTAAAAGAAAAGTATATCCTTCTCTCTGGCTATTAAGAAATTCCGCAAATATAGTACCATTCTTAATTTTTTTTTTTTTTTTTTTCGCCAACAAACAATTACACTAAAAAAACGGAAGAAGTACAAACAAGGAGTAGAGCATTCAACAACCACGAGGGCCATATACTCCACTCCAAATCACCGCACTCGGCTACAAGAGCCTTTCTGCTCAAAAGATAAGCGACACCATTTCCTCCGTGAGGAATCCACACAAGAGAGGACCTGACATAGAGGGAAAGAAGGGAACAAATATTAGAAAAAAGCACCACCTGACCTTCAACTGTCATTTGCATCTGCATAACAGGCTTGCAATCCGCTTCAACCACAACGTCCGTGTAACCCCAACGACTCAGAAGCAAGAGAGCTTCCCTTAACACCAAAGTTTCAGCCAAAGAAGGACTAGAAACATGAGAAAGGAAAAAAATGGCAATTTTAACAGGACAGCCTAATTGGTTTCAAAGAATAACACCGCCTCCACAAATCTGACGAGAAGAGTTGTAAGCCGCATCAAAGTTTAGTTTAAAACACCCCAAGGCAGGAGGCAGCCACACAGCCGGAGAGGGCTGGACTGGACAAATCGGCAAAAACAGAAGATGGTTTTGCCGAGACACCTCCTAAAATTCCTAAAAATCCGAAAACGCTTTCTGAGCAACATCAAAGGGATCCCAACGTTTTCGATTAAAGACAAGATCATTGCGGCACTTCCAAATAGACCAACACACAAACGCCGCCAAACTCGTACAGTCATCAGAAGCCCCCAGCTGCGACCAGTTATCACACAAATCAAACCATCGTTTTTTCCAAATGGTGGGAGCTAGAGAAGAAAAAACAATTCGTGGACATAATTTCCAGACCAACTGAGCAAAGGCACAAGTACAAAGCAAGTGATCAACAGTTTCCACTTCCAATTCACAAAGAGGACAATCCAAAGAAGAAAGAACCCCTCTAATCCCAAGTTGGGTCTGGACCGGAATTCTATCAGGCATGCTTTGCCAGAGAAAGAGAATGATTTTCTGATGAGCCTTAATCTTCCACACTTTTCGCCACATCAAATCAGAAACGGCAACAAAACTAGAACTTGTCTCCGACGGGGAGGAAGTCACTTTATGGAGGAGAGAACAAGCAAGATGTTAAGCACTTTTGACTGAAAAACAACCATTAAGAGAGGCGCCCCACACCTTATGATCTTCTCGACGAAACAAACTCAGAGAGGTTTTTAAAATAAGAGCACGATCACGTTGATTAGAAAACCGGTTCACCAACTCCACATTCCAACAGTGAAGGGAAGGAGAAATTAAGTCCGCCACCAAAGAAAAGCTCGCTCCGACAGGCTTAGAAGAAACAGCGTGGTTAAGAGAGTTCGATAACCAATTGTCAGACAAGCAGTTCACCTTCACTCCATCCCCAATACTCCATTTCAACCCTTTCCGAATCAACTCACGAACAGAAAAAATGCTCTTCCAGACCCACGAAGCATGAGACAGAGAAGACGACTCCACAAAGCTGTAATTTTTAAAATATTTGGGCTTGAAGGATTTGTACAACATAGACTCGTCGCCCACCTCCATACGCCAAGCAACCTTAGCTAAAAGCACTATATTGAAGGCTTCAACATCCCGAAAGCCCAGACCACCCCCATCCTTGGGTAAGCACATATCAGCCCAACTAATCTATTTAATTTTATACGATCGCTCAACCCCACTCCACCAAAAATTAAGAAGCTGGCTGGACAAAACTTGGCAATTCTTTTTGGGGAGCCGAAAACACTGCATTGAGAACACTGGAATCGTCGATAAAACAGATTTCAGAAGAACCTCCCGACCAGCCTTAGACAATAGAGAACCTTTTAAACAACTAGCCTTTGCAGAAACCTTTTCCGACAAAAAATTAAGAGCAACTGTCTTAGAGCATCCCAAAAAAGACGGCAAGCTAAGATACTTATTCATTTGATGCCTAATTAAAAGTTGACCCAAAAAAAAAAAAAAATTGAATAATAAAAAAAATATATATAAAAAAAATTCCGACAAAAAAAAAAGAAGATAAAGTGTTTCAATAAATGAGTCGTAAATGTTATCCCCCACACAAAAGCTGTAAATGACTTGTAAAATGGCAAGAAAACTGATGTGAAATTACTGAGAAGTTACATGGAAAGTCACCAAAATTTAATAGTAATAATTTCCAGTTAGTTTATACTCCTTTTAAAAAAAAAAAGTGGAGATAGTTATCATAAATAGAGTGGTATTCTAGTCTCCTCTCTAGCTATTAGTGAAGTAATTTTCATGGCTTCTTCCTCTTCCTCTTGTTCTTCGATGTCTGGATGGGAATATGAGGTGTTCTTGAGCTTCCACGGCCAAGACACCCACAAAACATTTGTTAGCTTTCTTTATAGGATTCTGAGTTAGAGAGGATTTAGAATCTTCAGAGTTGACAAAGAGCTTGAGAGAGGAAAAATCATATCTCCTGAGCTCTTAAAGAGCATCAATGAATCAAGAATCGCAGTCATCGTTTTCTCTAAAAACTATGCTTCTTCGTTATGGTGCTTGGACGAACTGGTGGAGATCCTTGAGTGTAAGAGGAGTAAGGGGCAGATAATTTTGCCTCTCTTCTACGACGTCAAACCAACGGATGTCAAGAAACAAACGGGGGATTTTGGTGAAGCTTTTACCCGCGCGCATGAAGGAATTCGTACTGCAAACCAGATGGAAAGATGGAGGACAGCTTTAAAGAAAGTAGCAGTCATAAGCGGGTTGGAATTAGAAGATGTAGCAAATGGGTAATATTGGTATTTCATTTTTTGTTTACTCTAAATTTCAACTTCTTTAATTATCATAATAGACTTAATTCCTCCCATTCATATACATGTTGGATTAAAGTTAACATGTGAATAGGCCAGAGCATTCACCCATTTATATCCAATCACTTTTTCATTCGGGTCCGATGTGGACAAATAACCCTTGTTACACATAACTTATGTTAATAATGTGTTTATTTTGATTTATATTTAAACGTATCAAATGGATTCTAGTATTTTAACTGGTATTCTATTTCTAGTTCTAGCAAATTGTTATTAATTAATTTACCGACAAAATAAAAAATTTGTTTGTTGATTAAATTTTTGCCATTTTATTATAATGAATCAAACAATTCACCATACTTATTTCTACCTTTATATATAATTTTTTGTATAGAATATCGCATCAGATTCTAATGTGCTTTATTCTTAATAGGGATTGGGATGAGTTTATCCAACAAATTGTTCAAACGATTTCGAAAACTCTATAACATAAACCGTTTAAGGTTACTGAGTATGAAGTGGGTATTGATTCTCGAGCAGACAAACTAATCAAGTTGTTTAATGATACATTAGATAATAAACTCTTTGTGGGAATTTGTGGACTTGGCGGAATGGGTAAGACAACCGTTGCCAAAGCGGTTTTTAACCGAATATACAATGAATTTGAAACAAGTTGTTTCTTAGAAAATGTGAGAGAAAAATCAACAAAGGATGGTTTAGCTAAATTGCAAGAACTTCTCAAAGAGTCCCTAAAGGATAATAGTATAAGCATATCAAGTTCGGATAGGGGAATCAATCTAATAAAGCATAGACTTCAGTGCAAAAAGATTCTTATAGTTCTTGATGATGAGGAGCAATTACAAAATTTAGTTGGAGTAAGAGAGAATTGGTTTGGTTCAGGAAGTAGGATTATCATAACAACTAGGAATGAATGGTTATTGACAAAGTATGGTGTTAAAAGATGCAAGGTTGACCTATTCGATGACAATGAAGCACTTCAACTTTTCAGTTGGCATGCATTCAAGTTGAACAATCCTGTACAAGAATTTCGAGCCCTCTCACACCGTGTAATAAAGTATGCCCAAGGACTTCCATTAGCTTTTCAAGTTCTGAGATCTCATTTGTGTCAAAGAAGCAAAAAATACTGGGTAAGTGAATTGGATGATATGGAAAGCAAACTTCACCAGAAAATTCACGATGTTCTTAAGAGAAGTTTTGATGGCCTCGATAAAAATCAAAAGTCAATATTCCTCAATATTGCGTGTTTTTCCAAAGGATATGACAAAAGCATTGCAATGGATTATTTTGAGAGTAGTAAATCTCAATCAGAATGTGGAATAGAAGCTCTTATTGAGAGGTCCCTAATCACTAAATCGAAATATAACAATCTTTTGATGCATGATTTGATACAAGAAATGGGTCGAGAAATTGTTCGTTAAGAATCTAAAGATCCTGGAAGTCGCAGTAGATTGTGGTCATATAAAGATATTTGTGAAGTATTTGCTGATGATACGATACATTTTAAACTCATCTTTGTGTGAAAGTTTATTTTTTTTTATTTTTTTTTTATGAAATTTTATATTATCTTGTAAGCATATTTAAAGTTTGTTTATTTATATTTTATTTTCAGTTAGGTTTTGATTTTGTGTGGTTGGTGCACTTATACCATGTTATTGGTTATTAGGTGACAAATAATATTGAAGGCATTTTGTTACCAAAAGTCAGCGATATGCATGGTTTGATACCGATACGAGATCTGGATGATAAGTTTCGAGATCTGTATGATTTTATAGGACAAGAATTTGATCAAAAAATTGTTGATCAAGAATCTAAAGATCCGGTACATTTTAAACTCATATATTACTTTTGCGTGAAAATTTTTTTTTAATGAAATTTTATATTATCTTGTAAGCAGATTTAAAGTTTATTTATTTATATTTTATTTTCAGTTAGGTTTTGATTTTGTGTGGTAGGTTCACTTATACCATGTTCTTGGTTATTAGGTGATAGTAAGCGTGGATGCTTTCTCCAAGATGAAGAAACTAAGAATACTCATAATCATGGCCCTTGATGTGCAACTTCTTGGATGTTGACGTCTCTTCCAAATCAGTATAAAGTTTATTAAATGGCAACAGTATCTTGGAGAATGTTTGCCACTTCCAAGAAGTCTTGTTCGTCTTGAATTACCATATGGCCTCATCAAACAAATTGAGGAACCAAAGGTAAGTTTTTTTGTTATTTTATTTTTATTTTTGTGAAGTACGTTATGAGAAAACGCACACCCGCAATATGCCCCGATAACACTTGAACTCTCAACCTCCTCTTTGATAAGGAGAGATGATACCATCTAGAATAGCGGCATGATGGTATAAAAAGTTGAGAATATAGATATATATACTATATATACGATCCTTTATAAGAATAATTTTGTTGAGTTGATCAAATTTATCTGTTTCATTAATTACTTGTTCATTTTAACAGTTTCACCGTAACTTAAAAGTCCTTCATCTCTTCTGTAGCTACTATTTGTGTACAACCCTTGTTTAATTTTTATCGATTGCCGTGTCTGGGGGAATTGCTACTTCAATGTTGTGGAAGTGCGGTTGAGCTTGAATTTCACGTCATGTTGGAGGTAATGTTTGTTATTTTAAGTTCAAAAATTTAATTATTCTGAATTAATTTATCATGTTAAAATTAGGGAACTACACACTTAAAAGAAATAATTGCAATAACAAAAATATAGTTTTCCTCTGATGCCAAATCAATCTCAAGGAGCCCAACTTGAATTTTTTATTATTTTTAAACCTCCTCTAGATTCACCAGGCACATTTCGAAAAATATCAAATGCAAATAATAAGAATAATTTATGCGATTCACGATCTTGCATCCTTTGTGTACTTAGAAAAGGTTCTTTGTAAATAGGTCTTAGGCCATCTGCACCAGCCTCTTCGGATTTTGCCTCTCTAAAAATGTCACATCAGCTTTTCCAAGAGCCACATCAACAATTCCAAGAGCCACATCAGCAGTTTTCGCTCTCCAGAAATATGCACTCCATCAAGTTCTCCGAATTTTCGCTCTTCAAAAAAAATAATAATAAAAAATTAAAATTAATTTTTTTTTTTTAAAACTTTTCCTAAACGGTTATATTTTTAACGGTTATATTTTTAAAATTTGAATTTTTAACGGCTATATTTGTAACGGCTATATTTTTAAAATTTGAACAAAAAAAACGACTATATTTTTAAATTTTGATTAAAAATAAATAAGGATTACAAAATAAGTATTACAAAATAAGGATTAAAAATAATGAATTGGAATTAGAAAATAAGGATTACAATTTAAAGCAAAAAAAAAAAAAAAAAAAAAAAAAAAAAACAAATTTTAAGGAAAAAAAACAAAAACTTTTTCAATTTATTTTTAGCCCAAATAAATTTTTTTAAGGATTACAAAATAAGGATTAAAAATAATGAAATGGAATAAGAAAATAAGGATTACAATTTAAAGCAAAAAAAAACAAAAAAACAAATTTTAAGGAAAAAAAAAAAACAAAAAAACAAAAGCTTTTTCAATTTATTTTTGGCCCAAATAAATTTTTTTTAAGGATTAAAAATAATGAATTGGAATAAGAAAATAAGGATTACAATTTAAAGCAAAAAATAAAAATAAAAATAAAAACAAATTTTAAGGAAAAAAAACAAATAAAAAAGTTTTTTGAATTTATTTTTTGCCCAAATAAATTTTTTTCCCGATAAATAGTGCCTAAACAATATATATATATTTTTAATGAATTTTATTTTAATTTTTTTTTTTCTTAAAAGGAGCTAAAAATAACCTATTTTTAGGTTTGAAAAAAAAATAAAAAATTGCACTGTTTGGAGCATTGTGCAAAACTGGCTAATAACACAAAATAGCGGCAGCCCAAAATGGCACCGTTTTGATGCAACAAAAAACAAAAAAAAATTTCAGCGATCGCGGGCTGGCTCACTGCAGACCGCGAGTCGGCCCGCGATCGCTAGTGGGCCCCAAGACTTATAGCTAGCCCACTAGACTTCAAACAGTCCATTTGCTCGCTGAAATTGGGCTCTAAAGAGCCTACTGCGGATGCTCTTAAAGTCTTTGTATGTGGCAAATTTATTTATTTATTTTTGGTTCTTTCTAGAGAAAAAAATTGAAGGGTCAAAAAAATAAGTCACAATGACATGACACCATATGTGCCAGTCTAAACTATCTAAGTGGTCAAGGGTCTTTGGCTAGCTCCTCTCCTAAATAAGCTTGTTTAATAAATAAATAAGAGCGGAGTGGTGAATCATTTTCTTACGTGTGTTTTGGTACGACCTGACAAGCTTATGTAATATTTTTTGAAAAACAACACTTCGATTCACTAATGAGGTTTTATAATATACTCACAGCTGATGTGAATTAATAATAAATTGACATGTGATCTTTAATTACCAAATCAAAGATGGTGAGTAAATATTAGTTATCAAATCATAGTGATTTGATTATCACTTATGATTTGATAATTAAAATAGGACGTGTCCATTTATTATTGGTCCACATCACAAGTTAGTGTATTATAAATTCTCACTATAAAGACCTAAGTATTATTCTTTTTTTAAAAGATCATACGGTGTCATGATACGGATTCTACTTGAATATATCAAAGAAAATGATAGTGGAATCATTAGTTTGTTTTGTATCATTACTCATTTTAGAATTCTGTTGATGGGTCAAGTGTTAAATGGACTCCTCTTGATGGGTCCAGTGGCTAGTGTCGGCCTAACTCGGTAATTGTGGTGAATGCAAATAGAAATACACCGATTGAACACGTGGCACTGATTTTAATGATTCTCTACTTTGAGAATGTTTCTCTTTCCTTTAATTTTTTTAGAATTCTGAAATATGTTTTGTTTGTTTGTTTTTTCTTTTTGTTTAACAGAATTTAAAATTCATTGATCTTCGTTATTGCACGAAATTGAAAAAGACTCCTAATTTGTCCCTATTTCCAAGTTTGGAGGCATTGATTCTTGAAGATTGCGGAAGTCTAATTGAGGTTCATCCGTCCATTAAATTTCATGAAAGACTTGCTAAGTTAAGTTTCAAGAGATGCCAAAATCTGAAGAGCCTTACAAGAAGTATTAATTTTCAATCTCTCAGATCGCTTAAAATCCAAGGCTGCTCAAAACTTGAGAAGTTTCCAGTGATGTAAGGGAATATGGAATGTTTAGAAAAGCTTGACTTGAATGGAAAAGATTTACCTCCCTCAGTCGGACATCTCAAAAGGCTTACGGAATTAGATTTAGAGGACTGCGAAATGCTTGAGAGTTTGCCGGGAAATTTTGGTGGGATGGAGAGTTTAAAGCATCTTAAATTGGGAAATAGTGGCATAAAAAATTTGCCATCATCCATTGCACAGTTGACTCGCCTTGAACAGTTAGGTTGTCAAAACTGCAATTTAGATGAAGAATCCATTCTTAATCTTCCTCACTCGTTGAGGAAGTTAAATCTAAGCAGGAACAACTTTGCTAGCTTACCAACAAGCTTCACCCAACTTACAAAGCTTGAATCTCTTGGTTTGGATGGTTGCTTAAGCCTCCAAACATTGGACTCACTTCCATCATCTATACGTACAGTTTCTGCACAAGGTTGTGTAATACCTCTAATTTTAAAAGGATAGTCTCAGTATTTATTTATTTGTTTTAATTGTATTTTTTAATTATTTAATTAATTATTTGACTAATTGCTTATGTGTTTAATTGAATTAGGTATTACTTGATTATTTGATTATGTGTCTATGTATTATTTGTATTTGTCTATGTGTTAATTGTTTAATTAGATTATGTGCTTAAATGGTGTTTTGATTAATTGTAAATTAAATGTTTTCTTTTCTTTTATTATTTTATTTTAATTTTCTTTTATGGTTATGGTTAGTAGTAATAGGCCAACCAATTGGGTCCCATGGACTACTTGGATAGGAGGTTGGATATGTATGGATTATTACCCATGGATAATGTATGTATATTTATAGATATATATTATATACATATATAAAAAGAAAAGTAATTTATTAATTATTTTTATGGTAACTTCGATAGTAATATTTAATCTGATGTATATGTTTTATATTTAAATAATAAAAATATACATAGATTTGATACGTGTTATGTTTTAAGTTACTTTATAATATTATGGTAACTTAAGTATTATTGGATAATCCATTAATAAATAATGGAATGTGTATAATTTATTTATTTAATAAACATATACATAAATTATATACGTAACATATTTTACTTACCTTTTTAATATATATATATATATATATAAAAGAGAAAGTAATTTATTAATTACTTTTATGGTAATTTGGGTAGTAATATTTAATCTGATGTATATATTTATTTAAATAATAAAAATATACATAGATTTGATACGTGTTATGTTTTAAGTTACTTTATGGTAACTTAAATATTATTGGATAATCCATTAATAAATAATGGAATGTGTATAATTTATTTATTTAATAAACATATACATAAATTATATACGTAACATATTTTGCTTACCTTTATAATATTTTTATTTTCATTTTTTTTTAGTTGACTTGGATTGGGAAAAGGGTTAGGGTTATTTTATTTAGCCTATAAATATATAGCTATAGGTTGTAAAAGGGGGTTAGAAATATTCACGTGATATATTCTAGAGAGAGAGAGTTAGAGAAGGAAGGAAGGAGGAGAAAAACTATGTAGAGAGAAAATCAAGGAAGAAGAAGTTTAACTTTCGATCCGAAAGTTTAAGGCAAGTTCTTCTTCTATCAATTTTCCCTTTGATTCGTGTTTCTATGCATGCCTAGGAAATTCCAGGATTTATTAAACACATAAAGTTAAATAATTATGCATGTTTAATTGATTAGAACATAGGTTTATGAAATTGGTTCATAGCTGCTCTTGTGTTATGAATTGATAAATGCATGATTTTGATTTGATTTCCGGTGTGAATTTTTATATGTTTACATTATGTATTTTTTTATATCTGTGGAATGATGGAACGTAGAAACATGCCTAGGATTCCTGAACATTAAATAGGAATTAGGTTTGGGTTTAAATAAATTTAAATAGACTCAATCATAATGATGCTTGCTATTTGAATGTTTTAAACAAACGAATGAATTTAATCTTTTAATATGTTTAAGCAATTGAGATTAAATGTGTAGGATGAATTGGATACGGAGAATGCTTATTTGACGGTATAATAAAATATCATCATGTATAAGATTCAGTTTGTGTAGGACATATGATATAGGAAGCTTAAATAAATAATAAGTCATTCATATTTAACTTGATATCATATCATCAAAGTTATTTCTGGATTATTTGATGTATTTCCTTAATCGTTACATCAATTGTTATATTATGTGGTTTAATGCACCGGTATGGGACGGTGGCATTCTAGGGACGGATTAACTTATCAGTTAAGTCCTACCTATTTTATATAAGGGAATGGATTAACTAAAATGTTAAGTCCTACTTATATTCAAGTCAGGTCAGCTGAACAAGTTAAATGACTTATGGAGGATTAATTTATTATATAAGGGAATGGATTAACTAAAATGTTAAGTCCTACTTATATTCAAGTCAGGTCAGCTGAACAAGTTGAATGACTTATGGAGGATTAATTTATACTGGATAGGATGGTTACTAAATTATATATATATAAGTATGGTGCCATGATATGAGCTTAAGTCTCAGGATCAGTGGTTAGGGTGCGTATATTGCCAGGGATGTGTAGCTAGATATAGTGTAGTTGTGTACCCTGGTAGGTCTAGGTACTCATGCCCACTATATGTGCGTTTTGCGTGTTGCCTACTATTCAGGTTGAGACAACCCTATAGTCTAGTGAGGTTCATTTAATGTGTGTGTGTGTAAATATATATATATATATATATATATATATATATACGGACTACTAGTTACTGTTGGATTGACTAGGATGTATACGTGTATCGGATCTCTGCTTGGACTGTAGTAGAATAGAACTTGTTTGTGGGTCTGACCCACCATTATTTTTTCAGGTGTTCGTCACGAGTAAAGGTTGTTCGTGCTGAGCGGGGATCAGTCTACTTCATTCTTCCGATTCTACATAGGAGTTCCTTTATGATTCAGTTTCCTATTTTAGATTACTGTCATTTGTTTAGTTTGGATTCTCTAGGGGTCCATACAGTATGGATTCCCGAGTTGTATTTTGGAGGATCAGTTGTATCAAAAAAGTTTATTAATTAATGGAAATATATTATGAGGTTTATTATTAGATTATCATTTTAGTTTCTTGTCAGCATTTTATTTATTTTTCTTTATTCTTTTGTACTCTGTGTTCGTTTATTATTAATTTGTTTTGATATCCTCGGGTATTCGGGCGTGGGCCTGGCCAACCCGCATTCGAAAATTCGGGTGTATCACAGGTTGCATATCATTAGAACGCTATTCAATTCCAACAAGTGCAGGCAGTTCATTTTTGGAGCTAGAATTGGATTTCAAGGAGAGCCACAAATTGGTTGAGAAGCATTGGAACAAGAAGTAAATCATTGTTATGGTTTTTATATATGCAACAGGAATTTTGTAAAATAACTGTCCTTCTCCTTGGAAGTGAGATTCCAAGTTGGTTCAGCCATATGTTTGAGAGTAGTGAAGAGAATGAAGGCCACTATTCAGTGTGTTTGCCGATGGATCCAAATTCTTAACTTTCTAATGCCACCGTATCACTTTTTTTCATTCTACAATTTTGAAACATAATTCTTCCCACTTCACTAAATTTATATACAGGAGTATATCTATATATAGAATTTCTAATTTACCTTTTCAACCTAATAAATAAATATACGCTGTGTATGTGTGTGTATATATATTTGTTGAAGAGTTTATCTTCTTAAATACAAACACCTCTTCTATTTTGAAATAAATATTATATATATTTTGCATAAAGAGTTACTTATGCATTTTATTTTAAAAAATACTTACAAACACTTGTACCCTTTCAACCTAAAAAAAAAAAAAAGGGATTGTATTTTAATTGCATGGCAATCTCTAACATTCAATCTCTCATTGTTTGTTTCAAAGTTGAAATACTACCAGATGCATCTGGGGAGACAATGTCCACCAAACATGGTCGAGATTACGACCCAAATTCTTACCATTCTAGAAAACTTTCGACGAGCGGACGAGGTGACAAGTACAACAAAGTCATATATGCAGATGGAAGGTTTGTAATTTCTCTCCCAATTATTTTCTCCAAATTAGAAAAGAATAATAATAGTAAATGTTATCGATCATCTTTGTGACATTTGGTTCTTTAAAAGGAATAAAGAAGATTTTATTGCTTACCTGAAAATTTGCATTTGATATATATATATATATATATATATATATATATATATATATATGAGGTAACGAAAGTTATGAAATAATTTAACAAGGAGCATGATTACTTTGAATTGCCAAAATAGGGTAATTTTGAATACATAAAGTTGAAAAAAAAAATTATATATATGAAGTATTAACATGCTCCTACAATATTATTTGCCCCAAGAATCACCTCTATGTCTTCTTCATGGAATCTCTAAAAGCTTTAGATTGTGTGAGCTTTAGAGAGAGTGTGAAGAAGAGAATATTTGTCTTGTGAAGAAAATATGAATTTTCTACAAAATGTGAACCAAGACTTGTATATCTCTAGGTTTATAATACCCCTACCTATACATAGACAAATCCTAAGATTGCCCGTAGCATACATGATAGTACATCCTATACTCCTTAGGAGTACCCTTAGGACATCCTATACTCTTCACACTATTTTCACTCTCTTACCATACTCCCATTATTGGGCTAGAGGTAACATTTGGCTAAAATGGACTTTATTAATTGGCCCGACCATCTCATGGCCCCAATTTAAATAAACCTATTTAATTATTTTTAATGACACTATATAAAAATAATTGAATTCCAATACAAGAATGGTAAAACCGCATGTTAATTTACGGAGAAAAACCCCTCCACACATAATTGGTTAATACACTAAATAAAATTGCTATTAATGCAATTGCATAATTAATCTTTTATTTTTACTCTGATGACATAACATTTGTTTTGATAAAATAATACATATTTGATAATATATATAAACCATTTTGTCAAAACCACACACCACACCAATTGCCTAAGG